TCCTCCTGGTCATCAATTATTTCTTCGTCTTCAGTGGTGTATTCTTCGGATTCTCTCGAAATTGCATTGGTGGATTCGTTGATTATTTCTTGTTCCGTTTCCATTTCTTTGCTGTAGGCCCTGGTGTTGGGCCTATCTTTCTTAGACATCTTAAAGCTTTTTTATTGAGTCAATTAACCATCCTCTGCTACCAGTTTGTTGCAATATTTTCAGGATCAGACTCAATAAGATCAACAAGAGTTAAAGATTTAACTATATATTCTTTATTTACATTAGGCATTCTATATTCACTGAATATTCACAGATAGAAGCAAGGGAAATGGTGTAGGTAGCTCCTTATATATACAATGGGTGGAGCTATATGTGGGAGTGGTGAATTATGAATACATTAAGAAGTGAAGAATAAGTTAACCCCTGATACCCTGTCTGTACACTATTTACACATTGGAGAATAAGGCATTTACATCTGACAAGCAGGTTTTATTTATGGCCAAAAACAAAATACTGGGTGGAACTATATCCAGAATATACAAATACAATGCATGCGAGGAGATAGCCACAGGATAATGGGGGGGAAAAGAAGAAAGAGAAAAAAAAAGAGGACATAGGGGAAGAAAAACAAAGTAACAAATGGAAGACCACTATGAAACAACGCTTAAAAATGATCAGATACCTATATGTTGTATGTTGTGTAAATGTCATATATGTGTTATAATAAAACCACAAATTTTAATAGCCTTGGTAGTACAGGGGTTTAAGGCACCCTGTTATTAAGATGGTTATTAAGACCAGCTGCCTGCAATTACTGCAGGGTTCGAATCTCGCCAAGGCTCAAGGTTGACTCAGCCTTCCATCCTTTCTAAGGTAGGTAAATTGAGGACCCAGTTTGTGGGGGCAATAAGCTGACTTTGTATAAATATACAAAAGGATGAAGGCTATTGCTGAGCACATTGTAAGCCGCCCTGAGTCTCTAAAAAATAAAATAATAAAAAAATATATATACAATAAAAAATACACATTGTTTTAAATGTTTATGCCACCTGACTCCCAACAACTCTGAATGGGTTACAAATGGCTAAAATGGTTTACAAATGGTTAAAAATATTAAAACAAAGAACACAGAACAAAAACAAGGTGGGGGGAAAGAGAGATAAACATAGAGGAGGAGGGGGAGAAGGAGAAGGAGGGGGAGGAAGAGAAAGGGAAGGAGAGGAGTGGGAGGAGGAGGGACAGGAGGGAGGGGAAGCAACAGCAGATGCAGCTATCACACTTGCCAAAGCCTGAGTGAAGAACCAGGTCTTCAGTGTCTTTCAAAGAGGGGTCCCCAACCTTGGCAACTTTACTTGTGGACTTCAACTCCCAGAATTCCTCAGCCAGCGCATGCGCTGGCTGAGGAATTCTGGGAGTTGAAGTCCACAAGCCGTAAAGTTGCCAAGGTTGGAGACCCCTGCTTCAAAGGATCAGTAGGCGGTGGCTATTCAAATCTTGAGAGGGGGAGAACCTCACTCCAGGGGAGCAGCTCTGCTACCCTTTCCTGGATCCTGAGAGACGACAGTGTTGTTTCATTGAAGGAGCCCGGAGTGCCCCCAAACCTGCCAGATCAAATCAGGTGAATACATTATGGAAGTCTGGCTCATTGTTCTCACTGTCCGGAAGTTTCTCCTTCGATCTAGGTTGGAGCTCTCCTTGAGAAGTTATGCAACAAGACCCCTATGCAAGATTCAATATTATTCGGGACCCAAACGGAGATCGGAGAAGAAACACCCGAGACGAACCGGAGCGTGTGCGCGCGTGGCGGGGGAAAACCCGGCAAAGCTCCGAAATGCCCACGACGAACCGGAGCGAGCGAGCTAAAACAAAGAGCAAAACGCCGATCTCCGAGCGCCCGTCCGTCTGGCTGCTAAACCGATCTCACGCTCCGCCCTCCCAATCGGGTCTCCATCGCCCCGCCCTTTGGAATCTTTCGCCCGTCCCCCCCCCCCCCCCCCCCGAAAAGTCCAGGCGTTGCTCTTGCCCCGCCCTTCTTCTCAGCGCTTTCTATTAATGGGAGGCGGAGCTGCTCTTCACCGGTTCGCCTTTTCAGCAAAAGTGGTTAAATCCAGTGTACAAGGCGGAAGTTGAGGGTTTACCGCTTCAGGAACTCACCATCTGCCCAACGTCTTTTCTTCGCCCACGGATGGATGGATGGATGGATGGATGGATGGATGGATGGATGGATGGATGGATGGATGGATGGATCGATCTATCTATCTATCTATCTATCTATCTATCTATCTATCTATCTATCTATATCTCTATATCTCTATCTATATCTCTATCTATCATCTATCTTTATCTATCTTTATCTATCTCTATATATCATCTATCTATCTGTATCTCTCTATCTTTATCTATCATCTATCTATCTATCGCTATCTATCTTTATCTTTATCTCTCTCTATCATCTATCTTTATCTATCTCTATCATCTATCTATCTTTATCTAGCTATCTCTTTATATCTATCTATCTATCTATCTATCTCTATCTAATCTAACTATCTATCTATCTATCTATTTATCTATCTCTATCTATCTACCTTCCTTTCTTTCTTTCTCTTTCCTTTCCTTCCTTCCTTCCTACCCACCCACCCTTTCTTTCTTTCCTTCCTTCCTTCCTTCCTTCCTTCTTTTTCTTTCTTTCTTTCTTTCTTTCTTTCTTTCTTTCTTTCTTTCTTTCTTTCTTTCTTTCTTTCTTTCTTTCTTTCTTTCTTTCCTTTTTCATCTTTCTTTCTTCTCCCTCTCTCCTTTCTTTCTTCCTGTCACTCTAAGCCATTTAGAATATAGAATAACAGAGTTGGAAGGGACCTTGGAGGTCTTCTAGTCCAACCCCCTGCTCAAGCAGGAAACCCTATCTGACCATTTCAGACAAACACCTTCCTGCCTCCTTTTTCTTTCGGCTTTGCCATCAAAGAGGCCTTAGTCGCTGTCTTCCCGGGGCGAATCCGGAGTCGCTCCAAAGCGAAGGCGCTCCATTTGAGGGGTTTAATTGGTTCTCGACCGTGCCCAGAATCTGGATGGGCGGAACCAGAAGGAGAGGCTGGCGATGAGCTGGAGGATGCGGGGCTGGGGAGGGGCGGCTTCAGATTTGGTGGTACTTGGCGGCCGCTGACATGGGGATGGAGCCTTCGTGCCCGGCGCCCCTCTTGCTCTTGGGGGCGAGAGAGCCAGGGAAGCCTCACAGGACTTGCAGTTTGCAGGAGGGAGAGAAAGGTGGGTAGAAACATTTAAGCCAGCCGGTTTGAATTCCTAGTATAGCTCTCCTGAGTGAGGTTTATTTATTTATTTATTTATTTATTTATTTATTTATTTATTTATTTATTTATTTATTTATTTATTTATTTATTTATTTATTTATTTATCAAAAATTTATATGCCGCCCTTCTCCCTAAGGATTCAGGACGGTGAACACAAGTTAAAAACATACAATAATAAAAGATCAAAATGATTAAAACCCAGTTAAAACAACGACAATCAAAATAAGAAAAACCCAAGGATCAAGGTCAACCCCTTTGTTGGACTAGATGACCTCCAAGGTCCCTTCCAACTCTGTTAATGTTAATTTGAAAAACTCCCTCGACGTCTTTGTGCCGGGCTGAGTCCCGTTTAATAACTTTTCCTCCAGTAGATAATTTATACACTTAACTGCGTCACAATGTTAATAAAGTGACGTTTGAATTTTTTGAGAGAGAGAGAAAAAAGAAGCATAATTTGCACAGTGCCGAGCGTTCCTCCGTGCCGGTTTTGTCACGTGGCTGTGCCCAAACTCGAGCCTTCCTCCGCCCCCCCTTCCCCCCCCAAAATAGAAAAGGGTGAGAAAGTACAAGCAAAAATACATCAAATACATTAAAGCCACCAGAGAAAAGGAAGTGGACCATTGTTAAACGAGAAGTCTCTTTTCCAGAATTTCAGCACCTGGACAGCAACTTTGGATCTCTAAAGGTAAAGGTATGTGCTAGTCATTCCCGACTGTAGGGGGCAGTGCTCATCTCCATTTCAAAGCCGAAGAGCCAGCGCTGTCCGAAGACGTCTCCGTGGTCATGTGGCTGGCATGACTCAACACTAAAGGCGCACGGAGCGCTGTTACCTTCCCACCAAAGGTGGTCCCTATTTTTCTACTTGCCTTTTTTTACGTGCTTTCGAACTGCTAGGTTGGCAGAAGCTGGGACAAGCAACCGGAGCTCAACATTTTTATATTGTGGCGACCAAATGTTTCCAAAGGAAAAAATAAAACAAGGAAGTCCTGTTGCCTTTTGGAAAATTGTGTGTCTGTGTGTCTGTGATTTCACCCAGGGATCCCTGCAACAAAACTAACTTCCCGCTTCTTCTTGGAATCCTTTATCCTTCAAACTCAGTGAAATATCTCTTGGAGTTGCATTTCAAAGGATTCATTTGTAGCTCTCCCGGTGTCATCCCAATGAGGGGACCTACACATTCAATATTTTTTTTTTAAAAAAAATCAGTGTTAATGCTTCAAATGTAAGGCAGGAATCCTTCTGATTCCTTCTGATGGGAAAGATCTCAATCAGTAACAGAGTTGGAAGGGACCTTGGAGGTCATCTGGTCCAACCCCCTGCTCACGCAAGAGACCTGTACTAGGGATTCGAACCGCCGAACTGCCGACCTTTCTGATCGACAAGCTCAGTGTCTTAGCCACTGAGCCACCTAGTCAGGCAAGTCAGGATTAGGATCAGTCAAAGTGCTTAACAAACTTTTACTATTGGCAGATGTGGGTCTGTTTCATGCCGTCCGGTGTGAGCTCCGTTCTCTGCTTCTTCTGGCTCCTTGTTCAGCATAGGGCAAGCTTCCTCTACTGTTTCCAATGTGTGAGTCTATCAACAATAGGGGGAGGTGGGCTCAGTTTGCTCCCTTGAAGGCTGATTCATCCTTCTGTGGTTATGAAGGGGATCATCCGGGCAACTGTGCATGTGACAAGTGAGCAGCCTACCATCATCAGCCAGAGGACAGAGCAACTTAAAGAAGTGTACAAGATCGGAAGATGTAGAGAGACCCTGGACCATAGAATCGCCTGTGGTTCTTATGGGATGACAATGACGATGAATGTTATCCATCATCATCCATCATCATTATCCTATAAGATATGGATAACATCATCGTCATTACACTATAAGACCCGCAGTCCCCTCCAAAACATATACAACAGCAAGAAGCACGATTGATCACTTGGGAAGTCTCAAAGCCCTTCACTGGTGCTCTTTAATAACTTTAGAAGAATCATTCCTTCTCCTTCCCCCCCCCCAAAAATCCGGCTCCTTTGCATCATCAGCAAACAGCCATTGAGAGAAATGGGGCAGGACAAGGAAGGAAAAGGTTAGCCAAAGAACAAAGGCAGGAAGGAGGCTCTGAGTGGAGCGGAGGCAGACAGGTGGAGATTTTTGGAGGGGGGGGGGCTAGGCAAACGTTTGCTTTCCCTACAGTATAAAACACTCCACTGTCTGGCATCTGTGACTCTGCACGCCGGCCCTAATGGGCTTGATGACAGGAGGCACCTTGGTCATCCTGCTGGGGTGCTGTGGCTGTAAGTAGCTAAATCGTAACCGCAATAATAATCATAACATTGTGTCTTGCAAATTAAAGTCAAGTGATTGTGGAGGAAGAAATCAATGGTTGTACCAATAGGAATAGGAGCCCTTGGAGCAATACCCAACGGGCTGCCTAGATACCAGGGTGGATAAAAATCAATGATTTTTTTTTTAAAAATCAAAAAAATCAGATTTTTTTGATTTAAATCGGATTTTTTTTATTTTTATTGAATTTATTTTAATAAAAAACTTTTGGGGTAAAAATCTATCGTAAGATAGTTTTCTGTTTAAGATACATAAATAATTTAGTTTATTCAGCGTGAAATGGAGCTTAGTTATGTAGCACGAGGCTGTATATTCTGCAGCACTGGGACAATCGGTGAGTCAACAGCGGGTCAAAGGAGTAGCAGAGATGACAGTTGCTCTTTAAAAATTATGATTTAAATCGAGTTGATTTAAATCAAGCCTTTTTACTAGTGATTTAAATCATGGTTTAAATTGTGATTTAAATCCACTCGATTTAAATCAAACCCACCCTGCTTAGATACACTGAAATTTTGAACGCATTAGACCTGAATAGCCTGACTTTGCAAAACAAATAAATAAATAAAACCTTGGAATTGCTTATATATCCAGATGCTACCTTAACAGCTCTTAGGTCCTTGGTTAGGACTTGAACTGTTAAATTTTTTCCCAGTCTTAGACTGGGAATTGAATCAAAGATTAATAGTAACGAGAACAACAACAATAAGAGTAATAATATTACTATTGGTGTACCTGTAGTTGCGCTGCTGAAGGTCAACAAACAAAGAGACAAAAAAAAGGGGGGGTAGTAGCTGGGCTGCATGAAGTCTGATAAGATGAGTTGGTTGGGGGCCGGGATGGTTGCCTGGTCCAGCCTGGCATATAGGTATTGAGGACTAGTGTCCTGCGTGGGACTCCTTCTCAGTTGTTGCTCAGTGTTGAAATGTAAAATTTGTTACTACCGATTCTGTGGGCGTGGCTTGGTGGTGGTGGGTAATGTGACTGGGTGGGCATGGCCAACTTTTTTTTTTCTTTTAAAAACATTTTCTACAACCTCTTCAGCATTTTTTTTTTTTTTTTTTTGCTTTTAAGAGAAAAAATAGCCTCTGACGATCAGGCAACTCAGCTGGGATCATCAGAGCCTTTTAAAAGCATTTTTTTTAACATCCTCTTCGGCCAAAGAGGTAATAGAAAAAAATGCTTTTAAAAGGCTCTGAAGATCCCAGCTGAGCCGTGCAATCATCAGAGGCTTTTTTAAAAAAAAAACTTTTAAAAACATTTTTTCAGCCGAAGAAAAAATGATTTTAAAAGTAAAAAAAAAAGCCTCCGATGATTGCGCGGTTCAGCTGAGCATGGGGGGGGCAGGGATTTTTGCTACTGGTTCTCCGAACCACCCGCCTCCATTGCTACCGGATCGGGCGATCCGGTCCGAACCGGGAGCATTTCACCCCTGGACTTACTGCTGGCCTGATGAAATAGGGAGAAGGAGAGGAGGAGAAACTACCTGTGCAAAATGGAGCAGATGGAGAGAAAGGTTGGAGAAGAAAAACAAAATTTAAGTATGTGGAACAGTTATTGGCTAGAGAGGAAGATCATAGAATATGAGAGTTGGAGGTTCTCTAGTCCAACCCCCTGCTCAATCCGAAGACCCTCTATCATTTCAGACAAATGGCTGTCCAATCTCTTGTGAAAAACCTCCGTGATGGAGCGCCCGCAATTTCTGAAGGTAAGCCGTTCCACAGGTTAATTGTTCTTAACGTTAGGAAATTTCTCTTTAGTTCAGGTTACTTCTCTCCTTGGTTAGTTTCCGTCCATTGCTTCTTGTCTTTTGTTTTGTTTGTTTGTTTTATTAAATTTATATACCGCCCTACTCCCGAAGGACTCAGGGCGGTGAACAGGCACAAAATAAAATACATGAATACAAAAGTTAGAAACCAAATTAAATAATTTAGCCCAAGACAATTAAAAATCCCAATAATTTAAAACAAATTAAAATTCCAATTTAAAAATTTAAAAGAAAGGGGAGAAAATTAGGCCAGTGAACAGGCACAAAATAAAATACATGAATACAAAAGTTAGAAACCAAATTAAATAATTTAGCCCAAGACAATTAAAAATCCCGAAGTGATCCTTCAGGCAAAAAGACAGGGTCATGGGTAGCGGTAGTTCGCGGGTGGCAGGAACCCCGATTGGAAGAAGTGCTCGAGGCCTGGGACGCCAGGTGGATGCCCATTTTAAATGGCATGGATCGGAAACGAGCGGGAAAATTGTGTCAAAAGTGGGCTCTGCTAAGAGATAACACCAGGAGACAAATTTGGCTAAATAAAGGTACTTAAAAGAAAAGGGAAATATATAAATAGGAATGTTGGGGTTTTTGTTTGTTTTGTTTGTTTTGTTTGTTTGTTTTGTTTGTTTGTTTGTCTCTCTGTCTTCTATGCAACCACATGGTATGTTTAAGATTTATGCCTTCCCTAATTTAACTGAGATTTATGGCGGGAATGATCAGTGTGTGTGTAAATCTCAGAATTCTGCTTTCTTCTCTTTGTCTTCCTTGTTTTTATGTGTGTGTGTCTAAGTCTTTGTGCGCCCTCGAGGTAATTGTAATTGTAAAATGTATCTGATCTCTAGAGACAAGAATTTTAAATTGTTAGAAAAGAAAAAAAAAGTTGAAACAATGAAAAATGGGAGAGAGAGAGGAGAGAAAAAAAAAAGAAAGAAAGAAAGAGCCTTTGCCCTGTATTTGTCTGGCCAACAAAAACAGAGTAAGGAGACATTCTATTTCTGGTTTTTTTTCTCCTTCCCTCTCTGTATCTTAAAGTAACAACTCAAGTTTATGAGGAAACGTTTTAAGTGCATTTACAAGAAAAAAAATCAGTCTTGCATTTCCTGTATGTGTTTAAATGGGTTTGCCTGTTCATCTCTTTCCTGAAGCATGTGAATCCAGTTTTTCTTATCTGTTGTGTCTCCATTTTGTTGGAACTGTATCATCTGTTTAGTAACTGCAATACTGTTGTGTTGTTTCTTTTCAAACTCTGCTTGCAAGCTATCTACACCCCCCCCATCTCTAATCCTGTTACATTGCCTTTCCTGGGAAGATTACCCACAAAACGGGGGAGGGGACCCTGTTCTCATGTCTTTCAGCCCTGCACAGATGACTCTGCAAGTGTGGAAGCAGAGCACATGGATCCAGATGCTGCCTCCAGAGGAGACCTTCCATCTGTTTGAACCAGGAATTGGGTTTGAATCCAGCCTCCACTGAAAGTCATCACAGCAACCAGAGTGGAGCAGACCTTCCCAAGCCTGACTGAGCAGCCTTACCACCAAGCATGCTACCCAGCAGACATGAAAGAAAAGACCCTGAGATGTATAAGTAAAGACCAAAAGACTCTTTTCAATTCCCAGAAGGCAGCTGGAAAAACTATGGGGAGGGTGGAAATTCATTGTAAGGTTTTCTTTCTTGTCTCATTTATATTGTAATAATAATAATTTTTTATAATTTATTGAATTTCTATACCGCCCTACTCCCGAAGGACTCAGGGCGGTGTACAGCCATGAAATAAAACACATAAATATACAAAATTTAAAATCGAATAAAATAAATTAAATAAATTTGGCTGAATTTATACCCATAATTTAAAATACCCATAATTTTAAAATACAATTAAAAATTTAAAATTTTCATTTAAAAGGGAGAAAATTTAGGCGAGGCCCGCTTGATGAAATAAAAGCGTCTTCAACTCGCGGCGGAAGGTGCGCAGATCCGGGATCCTCCGTATCTCTGGGGGGGAGCTCATTCCAGATCGTCGGTGCCCCCACAGAGAAGGCTCTCCCCCTAGGGGCCGACAGCCGACATTGTTTGGCCGACGGCACCTGGAGGACCCCTTCTCTGTGGGAGCGTACTGGTCGGTGGGAGGCTGTTGGTGGTAGTAGGCGGTCCCGTAGATAACCAGGTCCTAAGCCATGGAGTGCTTTAAAGGTGGTAACCAGCACCTTGAAGCGCACCCGGAAGACCACCGGGAGCCAGTGCAGCTCGCGCAGGAGAGGTGTTACATGGGAACTCCATGTTGCTCCCATAACCACCCGCGCGGCCGCACTCTGCGCCAGTTGGAGCCTCCAGGTGCACCTCAAGGGGAGCCCCATGTAGAGGGGGACCTCAAGGGGAGCCCCATTTATATTGTAATCAGTTTATTGTAAGAATTGTATTAGGGAGTGGTTGCCACAGCAAGTTATGTACACTTTAGATGTCTGTCTGGTGGGAGAGAAATATGTCCAAAATGTTGGTATTGCCTGTATTGTAAAAGTAGCTGCATACACATGCACACACAGAGAGACACACCATTCAGAATTAGACTGAAACTATTCCCTTCACTTACCTCCACACAAAGCTTCTCCTAGGTTGATTTTTGCTCTGTTGCACTAAAAGCCCAAGGAGTCATATCTCCCTGCTAATTCCATGGGGGAGGGGGCAATCCCCCTCAGGCAATTCCCTCACTTGAAGAGATAACAAGAAAAGTGATATCCAAAACCCAAGCCCTGACTGTGACTTACAAATGATGCTGCCCAGTTGCCCAGTAAAGAAAGATACGTTGCACTGGTGGTCTCATGAGTAGAAATCCCAGGGCTCATTATGTGTAACACCAAAAAAAAAAAAAGAATGGATATTGTACACTGGCTAACCTCAATTTGGACTCACAAATCCTGGATGTACTAAAGTAAGAGCTAGGGCAGGTTCAGTAACCAACCCTTGGAAATGGGCAGCCTGCAATTTAAAGCACCTTTTACAACTTGTCTTGCCCCAATTGTTAAGTGAATCGCTGCAGTTGCTACATTAGTAACACAGTTGTTGACTCTGCCTTCCCCGTTGACTTTGCTTGTCATGAGGTCGCAAAAGGGGATCTCGGGACACTGTAACCGTCATAAATATGAGCCCGTTGCCAGGGATCCAAATTTTGACCCCCTGACCATGGGGATGTTGCAATGGTTAAGTCACACTTTTGCAATGCCGTTGTAACTTTTAACTTCATTAAATGACTGGTTGTAAATTTAGGAGTACCTGTACTGCTACTCCAGAGCTGCAAACTTAGATGTAAGATCCGCCTCTCATCAGCTTGACTCACTAGCCAACTGTACAAACCTTTGTTTTGCTGCCTTCTTACAAGGAGCAGCTGTTCAGTGGATAAGCTGAGTATGAGCCGAGGTGGAGCAGTGGTTAGAGTGCAGTACTGCAGCTACTTCAGCTGACTGCTAGTTCAGCAGATCAGTGGATCAAATCTCACCGGCTCAAGGTTGACTCAGCCTTCCATCCTTCCGAGGTGGGTAAAATGAGGACCCAGATTGTTGGGGGCAATATGCTACTTAGTATACTGTCTTTGGTGTAAGCCGCCCAGAGTCCTCAGAGAGTGGGCAGTATAGAAATATGAATAATAATAATAATAATAATAATAATAATAATAATAATAATAATAATAATAATAATAATAATAATAATAAGCGGGTCAATTTCCAAAGTTCTCCTTAAATCCAGAGAATTCTTTTGCTTAGAAGGGTTGTGTCTGAGACCCAAATCAGTTGTAGAGTGTCAAGGAATTATGCAGCAGCTGTCCAGATGAAGTTGGAGACATTGACACAAACTTGTAGTGTATTATATATATATGAGGACCTAGATTGTTGGGGGCAATAGGCTGACTCTGTAAACTGCTTAGAGAGGGCTGTAAAAGCACTGTGAAGTGGTATATAAATCTAAGTGCTATTGCTATCTATCATCTATCTGCGGTGGCGCAGTGGTTAGACTGCAGTACTGCAGGCTAATTCTGCCGACTGCCAGGGGTTCGATCCTGACCGGCTGAAGGTTGACTCAGCCTTCCATCCTTCCAAAGTTGGTAAAATGGGGACCCTGATTGTGGGGGGCAATATACTGACTCTGTAAACCACTTAGAGAGGGCTGTCAAAGCACTGCGAAGTGGTATATAAGTCTAAGTACTATGGCTATATATATAAAAAAGAGCCGTGGCAACACAGTGGTTAGATTGCAGTACTGCAGGCTAATTCTGCTGACTTCCAGAGTTCGATCCTGACTGAGGTAGGTAAAATGTGGATCCAGATTGTTGGGGGCAATAATATGCTGACTCTGTAAACCCCTTAGAAGGGGCTGTAAAGCACTGTGAAGCGGTGTATAAATCTAAGTGCTATTGCTATTGCTATCTATCATCTATCTGTGGTGGTGCAGTGGTTAGAATGCAGTACTGCAGGCTAATTCTGCCAACTGCTAGGAGTTCGACTTTGACCGGCTCAAGGTTGACTCAGCCTTCCATCCTTCCAAGGTTGGTAAAATGAGGACCTGATTGTGGGGGGCAATATGCTGACTCTGTACACTTATATGTACTGCTTCACAGTGCTTTACAGCCCCACTCAGAGAGGGCTGCAAAGCAGTGTGAAGTGGTACATATAAGTGTTCTGCCCTAGCTACGGACCACAAAGAACGCAGCACACACGAAGTCTGTACAAACCTTAGTTTACTAATTAAGGACTACTAATGAGCTTTCTTAGTAGTTGTTCAAACACAAGTACAGTTTAAATCAGTCTTTTCTGAACAAGGGCCGTTAATTTAACTTCATTAATAGCCGACAAGAGTCCAGGAAATAATAACTCAATTCTGAGGTACAGACTTTCAGATAACCGTAAGCTTACTGTGGTTGGCAGAATGCCCAGAAGCAATTTGCAGGAAAAATGACAAGAGAGAAGCAAGAACCGATCAGATGTTTCTGGAGTCAATACGCGAAAGAATATGAACGAAGTTGTTTTCTGCAAATTGCCTCAGTCGTCATCATTCCTTAAATAGGCCAGGGGAGTGGCCAATTAGCCCCAAGCCTTACTCTCGAGGAGACCTCTTCCTGAGGAGCCATTCCTGCCTTTTGGCAGCTCTGCCCCTGCATTGAGAAGAGGTTCCTCCTCTTGTTCCTCTTCACTTATGGGAGCTTCTGGAGGCTCTGAAGGCCCTGGCTGAATCCCCGCCTCTGGCACCAACTCTTCTCCAGCCTCCTCATTGTCTGACTCAGGTGCCAACTGCACAGGCCGCTGGCGGGCCACAACAATAAGTGCTGTTGCTATATAAATATATTTAACATTTACAGCAGTCATTATCATCCAGAAAGGAAAAAAAAAACATAAGATAGTCAGGAACACAGGAACATCATGAGGTAAATTAAAGCGTATACAGAACACACAGAAGAAAAAAGGTGGGGAAAAAGGGAAACTCCCCCTTTATACTTATGGTGACCAATCACAGCATAGATTGCCTCATGCATGAGTCAGCATTTTCTAACTAATCAGCTATAGCTGTGTGTGCTGGCCTATTGTACACTTTACAGTTCCAGCTACTAAAGTCAATAGCTCAACATAGAGTCAATTCACCATTTTCCCCCCACTGGAAGTCTCCCACCCAGTAGTGGGTTTCAATTTTTTTTACTACCAGTTCTGTGGATGTGGCATGGCTTGGTGGGCATGGCAGGGGAAGGATACTGTAAAGTCTCTGTTCTCTCCCCACTCCAGGGGAAGGTTACTGCAAAATCCCCATTTCCTCCCGATCAACTGGGACTCGGTAGGCAGAGAATAGATGGGGATGGGGCCAGTCAGAGGTGGTATTTACTGGTTCTCCGAACTACTCAAAATTTCCACTACCGGTTCTCCAGAACTGGTCAGAACCTGCTGAAACCCACCTCTGCTCCCACGCAATAGGAATAGATTGAAGGGCTTCTCTTGGGGGTTCTCTTTTCTTTTCTTTTTTAATCATATTTTTATTGTACATTTTCCTTCATTTTACATCGCAATTTCAATTTTGCAACAACGATATGCTGGTTGTATCAGCACCTTTTTAAATATACATGATGTTATACCTCCTAGTTACGACCATTTTTCTCTTGTTCATACAGTATAGTCAATAGAAGAAAGAATAAAAACTTGATATTATACAACATACTTGTATCAATTGTATCCATGGTTGTAACATACTTCTCTATACATTTATCACTCTATATATTTTGATTTGCAATTATGTACAATCTAGTACCAATATTGCTTACAATACATATTCTTCTATATACAATACATATTCTTCTATATACAATACATATTCTTCTATATACAATACATATTCTTCTATAGTTTTATACCTATACTAGCTGGATCCCCGTGCTTTGCTACGAAACTATGTGATCGGGCTTGATAAATCGACACTTACAGCTTGAAACCTCCCCTATCCTATCCCCTTCTCTCCCTCAGCCTTGCCCCACAGAAAAGTCTCCCTCAGGCTTTCTAGCCCCTTCTCTCCATGAGGCTTGCCCCACAGAAGCCTGTCCTATGCTATCCCATTCTCTCCAGTTATTTCAAGTTGGGAGGGAGAGTAGAACGTCTAACTAATTAGCATCAGAGCATGTTATAATAATATAGGAAATTCTAATGCTCTGATGGTCATTTTAAAAAATCCTTTCTTAGTGAGCACCTAGAAGCCAAGAGGAACATACACGGCAAATTTCAAGTTTGTAGGCTTTACAGTTCTGGAAATTTCATGATTAATGCATGAGTGGTTTTTGCTTATATATATATATATCCACAATTACACGGGAAGAAACCTGAAATATTAACTATACACACATACATACCCGTGAAAACTTACATATATATATGTAGGTCTTTGGTTTATTCGGGTCTTCTCCCACGTAAAATTGGAAGTGTCTTGGCGACGTTTCGACGAAGTCTCATTTGTCATCTTCAGGCTGGTGTTCTCGGCTTCGTGCTTCCAGGAGCAATGTGAGATCGCAGCTGTCTCTTCCTTTTAACTACTAGTGGGGGTGTGAGCTGATTGGGTGGGAACCTGGCTGTGCTCTGATTGGGTGGAGGTGTGCTCCGACTGGTTAGGGGCTTGGCTGTGCTCTGATTGGATGGGGGGTTGGTCATGCTCTGATTGGCTCGGGGTGTATTCTGCTTGGGTGGGGGCTTGGTTGTGCTCAGCTTAGTCTGAGTTGCAGGGGGACCTGAGCTGGTGAGCTGCGTTGCTGTTGTTTGGCTTCGTGTTTGTGGCCGTGCGAGCTCTTCATGGTGGGTGTCAGTCTGCTTCATGTATGGATTGGAGGGGTTTAAAGTGGCTAATGATGCAGCTGCGGTCTGGCTTCTGGTCCTTGGTCGTGGTTCATTATCAGTGTGGGTTTGAGTCTGCTTTCTGCGTGGATGTGTGGTGGTGACCTCCTGTGTGGCTCTCGTGAGTGTGGGTCTGGTGTCATTCGTCGTGTTAGGGACTCGTTTGTCAATAAGGGCGGGTTTCCAAATGGCTGGTAGGCGGGAGGTATGGTCTCGTTTGTTCATGCTGTGTGGGCGTTTTTCTATCTCGATGGCTTCTCTGATTATTCTGTTGTTAAAGTGTTCAGTTTTGGCGATAGTTCTGGTCTTTTTAAAGTCAATATCATGTCCTGTGGCTTTAAGGTGTTGGACCAGGGAAGAAGTTGGTTCCTCTTTTCTGACTGAGTTCTTGTGTTCTTCTATGCGTGCACTTATTCATCTGTTGGTTTGTCCGATGTATGTGGTGGGGCAGGCGGTGCATGGGATTTCATATACTCCTTGATTTTCTAACTCAATTTTGTCTTTGGGGTTCCTTAGGATGGTGGATATTTTTCGGTTTGTGCAGAATGCTGTCTTGATATTATGTTTATGGAGGATTTTGCTTATTCTGTCTGTGGTGCCTTTTATGTATGGGAGGAGGGCTTTGCCATTTTCTTGTCCTCTGTCTTGGATTTTAGTGGGGGTTTCTTTTTGGATTAGGTTGGTGATCTTATTTCTTTGGAATCCATTGGATGTTAGTACGTTCGTGAGAGTGTGTAGTTCGGTTTTTAGGTGTTGTTTGTCAGCTAAGCGTTTTGTTCTGGAAATGAGTGTCTTGGCTACAGAGTTGATCTGGGCAGGGTGGTGGTGTGAGAGTGCGTGCAGATAGCGGTTTGTGTGTGTTTTCTTCTGGTAGATAGTGTGTCCTAGGGAGCCATTGGATTTTCTGTAGACTAAGACATCCAGGAAGGGAAGTTGGTTGTTTGCTTCTGTTTCCATGGTGAACTGTATTTTGGGGTGTAGGCTGTTGAGGTGTGTGAGAAAGTTGTCCAGTTTTTCTTTCCCATGTGGCCAGATTATGAAGGTGTCGTCCTAGCCAATTGTACCATAGTTCCCAAATCAGGTAACACTCCTTTTCTCCTTTGTCTTTAATTTCCATCGTTAACCTGTCCATTTCAGCGCAGTTTAATATTTTCTTAATTACCAGTTCCACTGTGGGTATACTTCCATATTTCCAATTTTGTGCATACGTAATTCTAGCCACTGTTATTACCTGTAACATTAAATATTGAATTCTTTTATTGTATTTCTCCAATACAACAAAACAGGCCTAGTAAAAATAGTTCTGGTTTTAGGTCTATTTGTAGTGTTACCATCTCCTCTAACCACTTTTTTATACTTGCCCAATATTTTTTTGCCGATGGACGAATGGGGGGTTTTCTGTGTGATGATGCAATGAGGATGGGCTGGGGCTGCACACTCCTAATTGGACCCTTCTCTCTTCTTCCTTCCCAGGCTCCCTTGCAGGTAGGAATACCCTGTGGTATTCCTACCTGCAAGCATCAGAGCCCAACCAGGGGCTGCCCCAGGTCTTCTCCAAGGCTTACCTGGATGACCAACCCATCGCTCGCTATGACAGCCACACCAGGAAGGTGGAGCCTCTGGTGTCCTGGATGGAGAAGGTGGAGAAGGAAGATCCCAACCAATGGAAAGAAGGGAATGAGATGTTGCTGGTCGCTGAGCAAGTCTTCCGAGATGAATTGAGGAGCGTATGGCAAAATGGAGGTTGCTTTGTCTTTTGTTTCTTCCTCCAGTTGACTCTGATTATTCCAAGGGAGAAATGAATGGTGGGGGGAGGGAGAAACATATCCCCATCTCACAAGGAAGGGAGAAGTGACCATATAGACAACCACAGGCTACAAAATGGAGCATTTTTGTTTTTTCCCCTTTTTTGGCCTCCAGCGCTGAAAGGAGATGGTGGTGAGATGGTTTTCCTCTGCAGGAAAGAAAAACTCCAGATTATTTTCCTTCATCCAAAATACTGGCCCTTGCATGATATGTGGAAAGTTTGATGTAGGCACTCTTCACTTTTCTCCCTGTTGTAGAACATGGAGGCCAAGAGTTTAAGCCAGGGGTGGGCTGTTGGGGGTCCGCAGGGGTTCAGGAGAACCTCTAGCTAAGATTCTGTGCAGTTCGGAGAACCCCCAAATCCCACTCCTGGCTGACCCCCGCCCCTCCCAGGAGTCCCCATGGGGCCTGTTTTGGATGCAGGTAAGTGCAGGGCCCACATGGAGGCTCGGGGAGGGTGAAAAATGGGCCTACTGGAAGTTTCCCGCCTCCAGAGGGCCTCTGGAGCCTGGGGAGGCTGTTTTTGCCCTCCAGGAGGCTCGAGGAAAGCCTCTGGAGTTCAGGGAAGGCAAAAACGCCCCCACTCCATGTGCAGGATCCCAACTGGGCCACGCCCACAATGGCCATGCCCACCATGGCGACGCCCACCCAGCAACCGGACAGAGACCCCTTGCTAAAATTTTTGAAGCCCACCCCTGGTTTAAGGTTCCTTCTGCTGAAGGGATGGAGAGTAGAGGAGGAAAGAATCGGACTGAGACTCTATAACAGTGATAGCTAACCTTTTTGCCATTGTGTGCCAAAAGCGTGGGGAGCATGGTGGGGGGGGGGTCACACGCATGCTTGCCCACACTCATATTTCAATGCTCCCCCACCCTGCACCCCCGTGCATGCACACGTAACCCCCAACACTCCCCACACTTTTGGCATGCAATGGCACGGTGGGCCCAGTAGGCCCATTTTCTGCCCTCCCCAGGCTCCAGAAGCTTTCTAGGAGTCTGGGGAGGGCGAAAACGGCTTTCCCTACCCCCTAGGAGGCCAGAAATGGCCCATTTCCCGACTTCCGGTGGGACTGGAAGGCCCAAAAATCAGCGGGTCAGTGCACGCATGTGCGCTGGAGCTGAGCTAGGGCAACGCTCGTGTGCCCACATATATGGCTTTGCGTGCCACCTGTGGCACGCGTGCCATAGGTTCGCCATCACGGCTCTATAATAAGCTTTTTTTGGGGGTGGGGGGCTTGGGGAGGAAGTCTGGACCTTCTGTTCTCTCTTTTAGGGCTTCACACGTGGCAGGCGATTTTGGGCTGTGAGCTCAGGGAAGACGGAAGAAAAGAAGGGTTTTTGCACTATGGCTACAACGGGATGGACTTCATCAGCTTCGACAAGGAGACCCTGAGATGGGTGACAGCTCAGCCCCAGGCCCAGAAGGTCAAGGAGAAGTGGGAGGATGATCCAGTGTGGTCCCAGAGAAACAAAATCTACTTGGAGACCTGTAGTGAGCAGTTGCAGAGATACTTGTCCTACAGTAAGGAAGCTCTGCAAAGCATAGGTAAGTGCAGGGGAATAGAGCTACATAGTTTTCTTGGCTGGATTTTTGAATGCTGCTGGTGGGATGGGAGGAGGTCTGTAGTCCCCCTTGAGAGGAAAAATCATTCTTGCATAGAAGGAAACCTTGTGTAGAAGGTACGTATTGATTTAGAATAGAATAGAATAGAATAGAATAGAATAGAATAGAATAGAATAGAATAGAATAGAATAGAATAGAATAGAATAACAGAGTTGGAAGGGACCTTGGAGATCTTATAGTCCAACCCCTTGCTTAGGCAGGAAACCCTACACCACTTCAGACAAATGGTTATGCAACATCTTAAAAACTTCCAGTGTTGGAGCATTCACAACTTCTGGAGGCAATTTATTTTATTTAGCGTATGGCATCTACCAAGGTCATGCAATCACTGATAATGCAACACTAATAGGGTAGAAGGTAAGGAAGGTAACATTTATTTATTTATTATTTAAATTTTTATACCGCCCTTCTCCTGAGGGACTCAGGGTGGTGCAGAGCCACAATAAAACACATATATCCATAAAATTTAAAAAACAGTTCAAAACATATTAAATAATTTGGCCCTATATTAAAAACTAAAACACCCATTAAAATCCGTTCTGAAGCCAGCCCAGCCTGTTGAAACAGTAAAGTCTTAAGGGCCTGGCGAAAGGTATGTAGGTCAGGGATCATACGAATCTCCGGAGGCAGTTCATTCTAGAGGGCAAGTGCCCCCACAGAGAAGGCTCTCCCCCTGGGGGTCGCCAGTCGACATTGTTTGACCGATGGCACCCTGAGGAGTCCCTCTCTGTGGGAGCATATTGGCCAATGGGAGGCTATCGGTGGCAGCAGGCGATCTCGTAAGTACCCAGGTCCTAAGCCATGGAGTGCTTTAAAGATGGTAACCAGCACCTTGAATCGCACCCGGAAGACCACCGGGAGCCAGTGCAGCTCGCGCAGGAGCGGTGTTACATGGGTGCGCCGTGTCGCTCCCATAATCACCCGCGCAGCTGCATTCTGGACCAGTTGGAGCCTCTGAGTGCTCTTCAAGGGGAGCCCCATGTAGAGAGCATTACAGTAGTCCAGACGGGAAGTGACGAGAGCATGAGTGACTGTGCTCAAGGCGTCCCGGTCCAGAAAGGGACGCAACTGGTGAATCAGGCAAACCTGATAAAAAGCCCCCACAGCCACAGCTGTCACATGATCTTCTAAAGACAGCCGTGCATCCAGAAGGACGCCCAAGTTGCGAACCCTCTCTGAAGGGGCCAAATCTCACCCCCAATAGTCAGCGATGGAGCCAGCTGGCTATACCAGGACGCCGGAAACCACAGCCACTTGGTTTTGGAGGGTTGAGTCTGAGCTTGTTTCTTCCCATCCAGATCCGCACGGCTTCCAGGTACCAGGACATCACGTCAAGGGCATCATTGGGGTGGTCCCGGGTGGAGATGTACAGCAACATTGACGGACATATGCATGATCCTTGGATAACAAAAAGTGAAACATACCTCAAGTCTACAACAGACTGATTATACTTTGAAGGAACTTGGACATAAAACGGAAAAGGGTATATCAGATTACACTATTATAGTCAATTTCAGGAAAAGTAGTTTTAGCCTTTCTGTGACAGCACCCCCTGTCCTGATCCCTCCAGAGATCATCAACCAACGCGACCAATGCCGTTTCTGTGCTATACCCGGGTCTGAAACCCGACTGGAATGGATCCAGATACGTCGTCTCATCCAGGTGCTGGGGAAGCTGTTCTTCCCCATCTGGAAGAGTTTCTTCCAGATGTTGCATTGTCTTGGTATTTGTGGAGAGATACTATGAGGTGTGCTGTTGCTGTTTTTGCAGAGCCCCCAGTGGGGAAGGTGACATACATGGCTGCCAGTGACAAGGTGGAGATCCTCATCTGCCAGGCCTATGGCTTCTACCCCAAGGAGATCCAAGCCATCTGGAAGAGGGGTGAAGAGGATTGCAAGTATGAGACCCTCCCTAGGAACGTGGCCCCCAACTTGGATGGGACTTATTATGTCTGGCTCAGCATTGAGATTGACCCCAAGGAGAGGGACCTCTTCAGTTGCCACATACAGCATGAAAGCTTACAGGAACCCCTGGTCTTGGCCTGGAAGGAGGACCCTGATGAGAAACTACAAGACTGGGGTAGGTAAAGAAGAATTTTCACCCATGGTGGAAAGAACGAAAAATAATAATAATCTGATGGACCATCCCAGATCTTGGCATGCAGTGTAGGAAACATCCCTGTCTCACATAGAACATTCTAGGCTTGTGACGTCCTTGGTCTTGGCTTGGATGAAGGAACCTGGTGATGTTGTGGCCCACCAGCGGCCAGCAGAGCTGGCAGCAGATTCGGACAGTGAGAAGGTTGGGGAGGATCATGGGCCAGTCCTGAAATCTGGGGAGGGCTCTGATGAGAGTGCTGCGTTGGAGGCAGAGAGGGGGCCAGAGCGGTATGCCAGTTATCAGCTGCCTTCGGAGTCAGACATCAGTGAGGCAAACAAACGGCTGGAGCCTGTTCCCAGGGTGCACATAAGCAGTTGCCAGATGAAGGGAACAGCTAAAGAACAAGGGTCGACTCAGGAGTAAGGCCACAGGTGGACGATGAATGACTCCTCCCAGAGGGAATAAAAGAGGAGCAAAAGGGGAGTGCAGTTTGCAGGAGACAATTAGTTCGCTTAATTGGTTCGTGACTCCTTGCCAAGTTTTGAAGATATTGGCCTGGCAGCTCCCCAAGCCAGATAAGGTCTGTGACTGTAAATTCACCCTGGAAAGACTCTGCTGGACGTGAATGAGAAGAATTCACAGTAATTTATTAAAATGGGTTTTTTGTCGGGACAAGGAGTCTGCTTCGTGGTTTGGGGAAGCCTAGGTCAGAACAGGTGAGAGACTGAGGGACTGGGCAATTAGAAAGGGAACTTCACCCTTGGTGCAAAGACAGTACAATTAGCTCACCAGGTGTAATTGTCCCCACCCTCAACCTCAACCTATTTGTGTCTGACGGTGTATTGAACCACAAGTGGTGAAATGTAAAATTTGTTACTACTAGTTCTGTGGGCATGGCTTAGTGGTGGAGGGTAATGTGACTGGGTGGGCGTGACCAACTTTTTTTTTTTTTTTTACTTTTAAAAGCATTTTTTCTACAACCTTAAGAGGTTGCAGAAAAAAATGCTTTTAGAAGCCTCTGACGATCAGGCAACTCAGCTGGGATCGCCAGAGGCTTTTAAAGGCATTTTTTTTCCTACAACCTCTTCGGCTGCGGTGCATTGTTCGGAGAACCGGTAGCAAAAATCCCTGCCCACCTCCCCATGCCCAGCTGAGCCACGCGATCATCAGAGGCTGTTTTTTAAACTTTTAAAAGCATTTTTTCTACAACCTTAAGAGGTTGCAGGAAAAAATGCTTTTAAAAGTAAAAAAAACAGCCTCTGATGATTGTGCAGCTCAGCTGGGCATGGGGAGGTGGGCAGGGATTTTTGCTACCGGTTCTCCGAACCACGCACCGCCATCGCTACTGGATCGGGCGATCCGGTCTGAACCAGGAGCATTTCACCCCTGAACCACAAACTATGCAATCACATGTCGTCTTAGCCATAGAACTTTACCCCTGTAGGTAATTCGTGCTTTTGTGTCGTGTGAATGAAGAAAAGATGATTCCATCATCTTAACCCTTGCTTAAATGCGCTAGAGCAGAGGTCTTCAAACGTGACAGCTTTAAGACTTATGGACTTCAAGTCCCAGAATTCTCCAGCCAGCTATGCTGGCTGGAGAATTCTGGGAGTTGAAGTCCACAAGTCTTAAAGCTGCCACGTTTGAAGACCTCTGCGCTAGAGGGTGGCAGAGAGGGAAAGGCACACCTATGTTCAAGGCCAGGCATGGTTATGTGGTTTCCACAGTTGTGATCCTAGGAGCAATGGGTCCCTCTTTGGCAGACGTAAAGCTACTAGGGAGAAATTCATGACAGTTGCTTGGCAGTGAGCACCCTCTGGGTGTGCCAGGTACCAAAACTAGTGCCCAGTCTCTGTCCTTGAGCTGAGGATCTTGGTAGCAACAATTGCCCTGAAGACTTTGTTCTACTTTTAGCCAACAGGAGGCTCCAGGTAGGACTCATCTTGGCGGCTGTGACTGTCTTCATTCTTCTGGCATCTGGGATGATCTGGATGAGTAAGGAAATATCTTTGTAATCTTGTTCCTCCTGTTTCCCTCAATTCCCACCGGGAGGGTCTTGGGGAGATGGATCTGCTTTCATCCCACCCCTTCCGGACAATTTCCAAACAAGCTGATCTGAAATCTTGCCCCACGTTCTTCTCAGCCTCTACTTCCATTTGCATGTGAACCCGCATGAGTTTTCTGCTCGTGTTATGGTGCTTCCATCCTCAACCCCAAGATGCAAACTCTCTGCCTTCATGATACAATTGGAATATTTGGAACGAGTTTTGGGTGTGTTCATAAAAATGATTGCTAGAGAGGAGCTTACATGTTTGTTAAGTACCTGCCCACGGGGCCAGTATAACCAACTATAAAACTAGAATTTATTTGCTTATTTGTTTATATATGTATGTATGTATCAGTGGTGGGTTCCTCCCGGTTCAGTCTGGTTCGGCCGAGCCGGTAGCGGTGATGATATGATGACACCGAACCGGTTCTCCCCCCTGCCCTCTTACCCCCCCCCACGTTATTCTTACCTTTTATTTGGCCCCACCCCCAATCTATTGCTGCCTCCTGAGTCACAGCTGATGACTAGAGGGAAAAAAACTGTTTAAACTCTTGCTGCGGGGCTTCAAAGGGCCGTCCTACAGCTGATCAGTGTTAAAAGCAAACAAATGAGTCGGGTCGTAAGTGCGAGGACTGGTCGTAAGTGTGAGGACCTTCCAGAAATGACTCTGACCAGCTAGCCACGACCACTTAGTCACATGCCCTCCAAGCCACACCCACAAAATAAGCCACGCCCACAGAACTGGTAGTAAAAAAATTTAGAACCCACCCCTGGTATGTATGTATGTATGTATGTATCAATGGTGGGTTTCAAAATTTTTTACTACCGGTTCTGTGGGTGTGGCTTGGTGGGCGTGGCAGTAAAAATACTGTAAAATCTCCATTCTCATCCCACTCCAGGGGAAGGTTACTGCAAAATCCCCATCAGCTGGGAATTGGGAAGCAGAGAATAGATGTGGGCGGGACCAGTCAGAATGTTTACTACCCGTTCTCTGAATTACTCAAAATTTCTGCTACCAGTTCTTCAGAACTGGTCAGAACCTGCGGAAACCTACCTCTGGTATGTATTATTTACAAACCATACACTTCCCTCATAGATTGACTCTGGGAGGTGGTGCACAAATAGTTGTAAACCTGTAAACACTATATATAAATATTGCATATTGTGATGCAGAAATCAGGTTCTTTGCATGAAAGGTGACTAATTCGCTCTTGTTTAAAATAATTGTTTGTTTGAAATATTAAAATTAAGAATGCAGGGTCAAGTCGAGGAGCCAGTTCGTGGAAGGTCCTGACGATATGTGAGCATCACCCTGGTTTTACACAAGGTGGGTATATTGGGTCTCACGTATTTATTCCCTCAATTTATGTGCATTCTCCCAATTTCAGTAACCAAAACCACATTCATAAGACTTCCCAGGGTCACATCATGTAGCCCCAAAGAACCCAGGGGACAAATCCAGCACAAATCCCATATGAATTCTATCTATACTCCAACTTTCTATGTTTGGGGAGTAGAAACGTGGTGACTCGGTGGCTTAATAACACTGGAGATGGTCTTTGTTTGAGTCCTAGCACTGCATAGCAGGGTGAACTCCCATTATTCACCTTAGCTTCTGCCCACCTAGCAATTTGAAAGCATGTTCTATGCGAGTAGATAAATAGGTACCACTTCAGTGGGGAGTTGAGCCAGTGCTTCATCATGTCATCAGCGCTTCATCAGCATTCACCCAGGTACCTTCGAGACTGACTTCTGCCACTAATAGCCTCCCACCGGCCAGTTCGCTCCCACAGAGAGGGTCTCCTCAGGGTACCATCGGCCAAGTTATGTCAGCTGGCGACACCCAGGGGGAGGGCCTTCTCTGTGGGAGCCCCAGCCCTGTGGAATGAACTGCCCCCGGAAATACGTAAGATCTCTGACCTCCGGGTATTTCGCTGTGCACTGAAGACCCTGTTGTTCCGCCAGGCCGGGCTATCGACATAATAATTTTAAATTGGGGTATTTTAAATTTCTGGGGTTTTAAATTGAGCCGAATTTATTTAATAATTTTAAATTTTTAATTGATGTTTGTCTTGTGTTTTTAAATAGGCTGTACACCGCCCTGAGTCCTTCGGGAGAAGGGCGGTATAGAAATAAAATTATAGTTATTATGTGTATAGTTAAAATCCCCCCTGGCCCTGAACCTTCCCAGTTGTGATTCCCATTTGTAAGATGGCTTTGGTGAAAGGTGAGGGCCTCGGATGATACTGCAAGAAAGCTGCTCATCTTCCTTTCTGGTGTGGAGTTAGATCGCCCTCCTGTGGCACACCTTGGGAAGTACCCGAGTGTGAACCAAACACAGGCAGTCAAAACTACTACTCTGCATCAGCAGTGCAGTCTTCTGGCTAATGTAACATTGACGTATGCTAAATAAATAAATAAATAACATGTTTGGGGAAAGGAAAAACAATTTACAACAAGGATTAGAATCTCGGATGAACCCCAAGGAGAGAAAAACCTCTGAATCCTCGAACTTGCTGTTCAGTTGAGTGCCTGAGGATTTCCAGCAATAGCACCAGGGGTGAAATGCTCCCGGTTCGGACCGGATCACCCAATTCGGTAGTGATGGAGGTGGGTGGTTCGTAGAACCGGTAGCAAAAATCCCTGCCCCCCCCCCATGCCCAGCTGAGCCGCACAATCATCAGAGGCTTTTTTTTACTTTTAAAAGCATTTTTTCTACAGCCTCTTCGGCCGGAAAAATGCTTTTAAACGTAAAAAAAAAAAACCTCTGATGATCGTGCGGCTCAGCTGGGATCGTCAAAGGCTTTTAAAAGAAAAAAACCCTTTTTTTCTTTTAAATGCCTCTGATGATCCAAGCTGAATTGCCTGATCGGCAGAGGCTTTTTTAAAAGCCCAGCAACTCAGCTGGGATCGTCAGAGCCTTTTGAAAGCATTTTTTAAAAACCTCTTCGCCGAAGAGGTTGTAGAAAAAATGGTTTTAAAAGTTAAAAAAAAAAAATTGGCCACGCCCACCCAGTCACATTACCCCACCACCACCAAGCCACACCCACAGAACCAGTAGTAACAAATTTTAGATTTCACCACTGAATAGCACTTGTACTCCAGGCCTATTTGTATTAAAAAAAAATGAAATTGCCTTCCCTGATACAAAAGGGTGATATCTGGAGGTGTCTTCCAGCACTGATTCCCCCACCCCTCATTCTATCCCTGCAGGACATCAAAAAAAGGAGAGCGAGGACAACTAAAGAGCATCCAAAAATCTTCGCCGCTTTGGTACTTCTTTCCCGATTGTTTGGAGAAACCAACCTTAAGAGCTTCTTTCAGCCACAGTCCCAGGACAGGCACTTTGTAACCTACTATTTGCAATGGGACGGTTGAATTTTTTGCTAATCTGTTCCTATGACATGCTGATTAATGTTACTGGCCCTGCCGACCTATTAATTTAACTTCCAGTGGAAAGTTTAACTTATGTTTGTAAGTTATTGATATATTTATATCCCCTTTATTTCCTGATGTATCTACATCATATTTATTTATTTATTTATTTATTTATTTATTTATAAATAAATAACATAACATAACAGAATAATAGAGTTGGGAGGTCTTCTATTCCACCACGCTGCTCAAACAGGAGGCTCTATACCAGGGGTCTCCAACCTTTCGGACCCCAGGGATCACTAAATTCCTAATTTAAAATCCTGCGGACCACTAATATGATCTGCCTAATGAATGGCTGGGTGGGCGTGGCAAGGTGGTCATGTGACTGGGTGGGTGTGGCCAACTCGATGTCACTCACGTTGAAGGGCAGCCTTGCCAGGCTCTACTCGCGCACTCCTTGCCTGCCCATCCGGGCTCCTTAGGGCCCCAACAGGAAGCGGTTGCTGGAGCTAAGCAGCCACCACGAGAAAGAGTTGGCAAAACGGCTCAGTTCAAATTGGATCTGACCGAGAAGGAGGCCCAGGAGAAGCAGCTCACTGAGGACTAGAAGCATAGGCTTTCCAAGCAGAGGGAAGACCTGCAGGAGTGCAAAGGAGATGGTCAGCCAGTTCCAGGCCATGATGCAGTCCCACTGAAATAAGGCCCTCCAGCTCTTTGCCACCAGCGGCACTTCCCTCCAGCCTTCGCCCAAAGCCAGTGGTGGGTTCCTCCCGGTTCGGTCTGGTTCGGCCGAGCCGGTAGCGGTGACGATATGACGTCACCGAACCGGTTCTCCCCCCCGCCCTCCCAAACACACCCCCAGCCCCCCACGTTATTCTTACCTTTTATTTGGTCCCACCCCCAATCTATTGCTGCCTCCTGAGTCCCAGCTGATGACTAGAGGGAAAAAAACTGTTTAAACTCTTGCCGCGGGGCTTCAAAGGGCCGTCTTACAGCTGATCAGTGTTAAAAGCAAACAGACGAGTCGGGTCGTAAGTGCGAGGACTGGTCGTAAGTGCGAGGACCTTCCAGAAATGACTCTGACCAGCTAGCCACGCCCACCTAGTCACATGGCCTCCAAGCCACACCCACAAAATAAGCCACGCCCACAGAACCGGTAGTAAAAAAAATTAGAACCCACCCCTGCCCAAAGCCCTGCACTAGGAGGCTGAAGCAGATCCCAAGTCGGAATTTCTGCCCCCCTCCGACCCACAAAAAAAGACCCAAAAGGGGGAGGCTCTCTGCAGCAACACAAAAGTTCATTGCATCTATCTGTCCCAGGGGCCGTAGTTTGAGGACCCCGGATTTAGTGCAATATAAAAAATGCAAATAATTTTTCTATGGACCACCAACATTTTCTCATGGACCACCAGTGGTCCACAGACCACCATTTGGTGACCGCTGCTCTATACCATTACTAACAAATGTTTGTCCAATCTCTTCTCAAAAACCACCAACATTGGTGCAGCTACAACTTCTAAAGGCAAGTCATTCCACTGATTAATTGTTCTCACTATCAGGAAATTTCTTCTTAATTCTAAGTTGCTTCTCTCCTTGATTGATTTCCATCCGTTGCTTCTTCTCCTGCCCTCAGGTGCTTTGGAGAATAACTTGTCTCCCTCTTCTTTGTGGCAGCCCTTGAGATATTGAAAGGCTGCTCTCATGTCTCCCCCAGTCCTTCTTTTCATTAAACTAGACATACTCAGTTCCTGCAACCGTTCTTCAGATGTTTTAGCCTCCAGTAGTAGCGACTAGCACTGATGATGTTATGCATAGTGTTTCCCCAAAAATATGACCTACTCAGAAAAATATGACCTACTCTTGAACCTCCTCTTTTGCCCTAAATTTCCCATTGTTTGCAGTTTTGCACCTACCTTTTTTGGTGAGGAAAAAGAAAAATCAAGTTCTAGCTTGATTTTTACATGTGCGCCAATATAAGCCCTACCCCCAAAATAAGTCCTAATTAAGACCCTGCCCACTCCAGGGTGCACAGGTAAAAATTAACCTTAGGGTGGGGACAGGGAGAAGGGAATTGGAGCTGCCCTAACTACTTACCTTCGGATAGTTGCAGCCAGGCCTAGCGCACCTCGGGCCATTTATTTTTCTGCAGCCAGCAAGGCTTTCCTGAAGGCCTCTGTAGCCGATAACAGAGCTCCAGATTGATCCGGAGCTCTGTTATCGGCTGCAGAGGCCTTCAGGAAAGCCTTGCTGGCCTTGCTGACTGAAGACGTTACTGAAGGCCTCTGACAGAGAAAAGGAGACCAGGGGCGATGCGTGCAAGTGAGGTGAGTCAGTGGATGACATCTCCCTCCGAAAATAAGACCTGGTGCCTTTTTTTGTGGCAAAAAAATATATATATAAGACTGGATCTTATTTTCAGGGAAACACAGGTAGTTTGGGTAATGAAATGTGTGCAGGAAAACATCCAAGCTCAGAGAGTACCAAGGATCCCTCATTTCAACCCTACAAATGAGCTACAAATGTTCTCCTATATTGCGACCAGATGACTGCAAAGAATATAAATCCTCCCATTCCCCACCAATCAGTTAGTACCGAAGAAGTTTCTTGGATGAGAAGTAAAATGCTTTCAAAACAATAACAACAACAAAAGAAAGTCTAGTTGCCTTTTGGAAAAAGTACCTGTTGTGGCCCGCCAGCGGCCTGTGCGGATCGTGGCTGATCCTGATGACGAGGAGGCTGGTGTGGGGTTGCGCCAGCAGCCTGCGCAGCCGGCGCTCGCATCGGACAGTGAGGAGGGTGAAGAGGATGTGGTGCCAGAGGCAGAGACTCAGCCAGGGCCTTCAGAACCTCCAGAGGCTCCTTCAAGTGGAGAGAGCGAAGTGGAGGAGCCTCTCCTCAATGCTTGAGCACGCAGGGCTGCCAAAAGGCAGGAGTGGCTACTCAGGAGGAGGAGGTCTCCTCGAGAGTAAGGCTTGAGGATAATTGGCCACTCCCTTAGCCTATTTAAGTCACATGCAGTTAGTAATTTCTTGCTAGAAACAACTTGTAATTATCATCACAGCATTTTTGGAAAAGTCTTACCATATCTTGTTTTCTGGGCTGGTTGCCAACCTTTGCCGGACTTTGGTTTATTCTTGCTACTTAATAAATTTGATAAGGACTGTTGGTGTGTGTCAATATCCTCGGGAATCTGGAGCTGGGGCAGAACAATACCTTTGGGACAACCCTGACACGAATGATTAAGAGCCTGGTTTAGCTCTGCAGACTAAAGCACCGTAATTAACATCCAGCTGTCTGCAATTACACCAGTTCAAATCCCACCAGGCTCAAGGTTGACTCAGCCTTCCATCCTCTCTAAGGTAGGTCAAATGAGGACCCAGTTTGTGGGGGCAATAAGCTGACTTTGTATAAATATACAAAAGTATGAAGGCTATTGTTTAACGCATTGTAAGCCGCCCTGAGTCTCCAGAGAAGGGCGGCATATAAATCAAATTAAAAAAAAAAAAGAATCTTCATAACAAGCAAGTTTTGCAAATATTTCTTATATATTGGGAATCGGTCGGATTGCTGAACTTGGCTTGGTTTGCTTTCTTTCATGGTCTCTGTCTTGTTTTGCTAACCTCATGCATTACATTATTGTCTCTCTCTAAGCAGCCCTCTCTAAGCAGTTTACAGAGTCAACACATTGCCCCCCAACAATCCGGGTTCTTACCAATCTTGGAAAGATAGAAGGCTGAGTCAATCTTGAACCAGTGAGAATCGAATTGCTGACAGGTGGCAGAATTAGCCTGCAATACTGAATTCTAATCACTGCACCACCCACGGCTCATTTAAGGAACACCTTGAAACTGTTTCTGAGGAAGAGGGAGAAGAGAGCTTCCTACGATGGTTGTGTAGCGGCACTTTATTTCAGACCCAGATAAAGACCTAACCGCAAAGAATTGTTTCACCCTTTTTTTTCGTAGCTCCTGTATTTATATGGTTTGATCCTTCTGTCCCAATGATCTTTGATTCACAAGCTGGGTATGTCAATGTTTGTAACAGGTGTAGTTTGCTAGCTTATTTTCTCAAAATCCAATCTAAAGCCAGATTTGGGGACTCTTAAGGTTAATTATTGAAAGCTCACAGAGATCGCCGCTAACCAACATACGCTCTGTTGACAATCCCAGTTGTGGATTGTTGGTGCTCTTTATTATGGGAACAAACATCCTGCCTAGTTTGTGCACCGTTTTGTGTAAAGATGGTCCAATTCCTCATGTTTATTGGAAACAAGGACATTGCTAAGGGCAGTTGCATCTTTCACAGAAAGTCTGGTTTTCTCTGCAGTTGCCTATAATCAACTCAGGAATTTGCTACCTGGAGTTTTTCATGTCTTTTTTCAAGAGGAACTGGACTTCCTTGTTTTTTCTTTGAAGACTTCTTTGAAGTCCAGTTGCCTCTTGAAAAATCACCTTTTGGGACAACCATGACTTGGATGACTGAGGATCTCCATAGACATAGAGTTTTTCATCCTAATTTTAATCTGTCTTAATATTTAATAGATATTAATGATGGGAATTATGGGAGGTTCCTAGGTCATTAATTCATTTGAAATAAGTAATTTGGATGGCTTAAAGTACTCAATTAAAGAACTTTTGATTTCACAGTGGGCTGCAATAAAAATAGAGTATACCAACCCATTGTGAAATCAAAAGTTCTTTTAACAAAGCAATGGCTAAGAGTTCAAAAGAATATTAAGATCTTTCTATGTCCTTATTATAAAATAATATAAGGGGCCTGAATAGCGCAGCAGACTAATGCTACTGTTAAAGGTAGTATTTAGCTTCCAGCTGCCTGCAATTACTGCAAGTTCAATTCTCACCAGGCTCAAGGTTGACTCAGCCTTCCATCCTTTCTAAGGTAGGTAAAATGAGGACCCGGTTTGCGGGGGCACTAAACTGACTTTGTATAAAATATACAAAAATATGAAGGCTATTGCTTAACGCCTTGTAAGCCGCCCTGAGTCTCCGGAGAAGGGCGGCATATAAATCAAAATTTTAAAAAAAAATGCCACAGAAAAATGTGAAGGCCCCCTTTTAATTCATTAATTGACTAATTATCCTAACTTTCTAACATTGCATGTTTGAGCCATACAACCTGGAGTTTGTCCTTAGTGATAGAATAAACTAATAAAG